ATTAGGTTATGAATTCATAGCACAACTAGTGGTGTTATGGACGAGGTTATGAGTCTATAACACAACTATTTTTGGTTATTTGACAAATGTCAACGTTAAACCTGTAAAGGTAAAATGAAGGTAGACAACTACTAATAAACGAAAATAATTGAAAAATCATTCTTGTTTTTCGCTTTGTAGATAAAACGTTGTATATCACACGCGCGTTTAAACATGACTACAAAACTCATGTGATTAGAACGACTCGGTCTACGACCTCGTTCTAATCTTTCACACTCGTTATTGTAATCATGTTCATAAACGCACTTGTAATGTAAATAACTATAATCTGTACAGGTGAAAGCTGCAGGTAAAATTTGAGGTACTTGGTTTCTCTGATAGTATTTTTAAAATTTTTAGAACCAAATATGTTGGAGACATTTCAACCAGATACAGACAAACTATATAGTTTTGGAAAGAAAGTTTGGGAAATTGTGCTGTTCAAGAATATAGAACCAAATATAGGGTATCCCATTTGAAAAAAGCTGAAAGTATGCAATATTTCACATTTCTGACATTCAATTTTTGTTTCTGACTATGGATTCTAAAAATTTTGCCAATACTGTACAACTTTTGTATTTACAGCTTTCATCTACTTGTAAAGGTGAAGGTTGTAGGTGGGGTGAAAATATATAAAAAACACCCTGTACTAGAACAATAACTTATTATATAAAGTAAGAATTTGTAAGATTATCCACTTTTTGTCAATTTTAACAGGGATTAGTAATGTTACTTTACCAAACTAGTAATATAATGTGACAAGTTATTCAAGTACAAATGAGTGAATTGTTGCGGAACTTATGGGTGGACCTCTGCGGGATGAGCGCAGCGAGTTCCGCAGCCATCTATTCATCAATATGTTGTTTAATTACGATACTAACTTGACTCACTCAAATGTGCATTAAGGGCCAAATTATGGACCAACTGGTAAGTGTTTATTTGTTACCTAGCAGGTACTTTCTATTCTCTAATGCATAGAAAATACCTGCTAGGTAACAACCAGAAGTTTACCAGTCAGTCCATAATTTGGCCCTAAGTGTGTATTTTCAGAATGTAGGAGGTCTACGAACTAAGTTGAGTGATCTTATGAAAGCAGTGGCGTGCTGTAATTATGATATTGTTGTTATGGTTGAAAGCAACTTGAATGTGGACTTCTCTGATTGTGAACTTAAATGCGAGGGTTTTAACACTTTTGGCTGTGATATAAATTCCAGAACAAGTCAAAAGCTTATTAATTAAATTTCATTACATGTATATAACCGAAGACAGGGTAGAACAGCTATATGTTGTGTGTCAAGTTAGCAGTACCCTCGGCAGTACCACATTTTTTGTTGGAGGAGTTTAAGACATATATATTGCACTGTGAGACAGTGGATAGTATAATCCATAAATATCCAGCACAGAATATATACTTGGTAGGTGACTACAACCTACCAAATGCAACGTGGTCCAATGATGAATACGGGACAGCGGTTCAATGTCCAGGGGGCGATCCAGCTTTAGAGGTAGCCCTTTCTTTTGGTTATCATAAGTTTTTCCAGCTCATTGGCATACCTAATGACAGAAATGTTCTCTTGAATCTGGTTTTTTCTAACGTTAGAGACTGTGAGGTAGGTAGGGCTAGTGATCCACTACTTGATTTTAGTTTGCATCATTGCTTATGAATTTATAATACATAATGCATTCTGCATAAACTAAGTTTAACGATTTAATATACAACGAATTTTACTATGATTTCAGGAGTGGTAACTACATAGAATTAAATAATTATTTGGCATCCATTGACTGGGTTAAGTATCTTGAAAATATTAATGTCAATGAGGCATCCAACTTATTTTATAAACTCCTGTTAATTGGCATTGCCTACTTTATTCCTCTAAAAAAATATTGTACATCTACTTTTCCAAACTGGTTTTCTGCTGAGTACGTAGGATGACTTTAGAAAAAAAACTTGCACCTGCTGTCTACAAAAAAGAGCGTTCCAATATTAGTTATTTAAGGTTTTCTCAATTGCGTTCAGAATGTAAGAGACTCTCAGACATTTGTTTTAATACTTACATCAGCAGTCTTGATGCAAAGTTTATTGAGGATCCCAGATCCTTTTGGAAGTATATAAATGATAAGCGTTCTGTTCATAATCTACCTAGCTCATTATTTTATGGTAACCGTGAGGCTGCTAGTGGCCAAAACATTGTTCAGTGGTTTTTTTCAAACTGTTTACACTCTTAATTAAAACCCAGATGAATTTTCTGATAATGTAATTGAAAACATGAACATAAGTAGCAACATAAATTGCACTGTAATTTCAAAAATTGGCATTTTCAATGAAATCTCAAATGTTCCTAACAAATTATCCTCAGGACCTGACGGCATTCCCAATTTCTTATTAAAAAAATGTGTTTGCACCATAGTGTCACCCTTATATCTACTTTTCAACAAGTCTTTACAATCCTCAGTTTTTCCTAGTGTATGGAAGGAGGGTAATATCGTTCCGATTTTTAAAAGTGGCAAAAAAACAACGTTGAGAATTACTTGGCAGTGTAAGGGCCTTATTCGACAGGAGCAGCATGGCTATTCCAAGGGCAAGTCGGTGGTCCAATCCAATTTGACAAGCTGTCAGCTAGATATTCTGCATAACATGGTGGACAGAAAACTAACTGATTCTATCTACACAGACTTTACAAAGGCTTTTGATCGTGTCGATCACAAAATTCTGCTTAACAAGTTACTTTAGATAGGTTTTAACCCTGATTTTGTGCTGTGGTGGAAGAGCTCGCTCACAGATAGAATTCAGAAAGTTAAAATAGGTTGTTATTACTTGAATACAATTAATGTCACATCGGGAGTTCTCCAAGGGGGCCATAGTTCACCTCTTTTGTTCAATATTTTTGTAAATGACATTGCTGACTGTTTCTTGGGGAGCAATTGTTCCATGTTTGCCGATGATCTCAAATTTTGGAGGATCATCGAAAGTACTTCTGATCAAGTACTGGTTCAGGAGGACCCGAATCGTCTATTAGATTGGTGTCAAAAAAACAAGCTAAACCTAAACGTGAAAAAATGTTGTTACATAAGTTTTTCACATAAACCTGACAGGATCATGACTGAATACCATATCAGTGATCAACGGCTTGAATATAAATCATCACTTAGAGATCTGGGTGTTATTTTTGATGAGAAACTTTCGCTTGTTGAGCATATAAATTCAGTCTCTATCAAAGGTTCAAAAATGCTGGGGTTCGTCATAAGAAACTCTTAAGTATTTTTCTATCGAAGCCAACAGAATGATCTATTGTTCCTTGGTAAGATCATTGTTTGAGTATTGTTCAGTTATATGGTCCCCATTTTATCAAAATCATCCTGATTCTATGGAGAGTGTTCAGCATAAATTTTTACGATTGTGTGCCTTTAGAAAGAGTATTAGGATTGTGAACCATGAATATAGCGCCATGGAAATGCAGTTAAAATTACCTACCTTAAGTGAGCGACGGGACTTGTTTGGCTTAATATTTTTATATAAAATAATTAATGGAATTATTGATTGTCCTACCCTTTTAAGCCATATTAGCCTAAATGTGCCTTATTATCATGGTCTGAGATATCATAATACTTTTAACATTAGTTTTTGTGGAACATCCTATGGCGCTAAGTCCAATTATCAGATATCTATCTATGTTAAATAATCTTGATATTGACGTTTTTAATGTGAAACTAGCTCAATTTAAAACACTCTGCCATAATGTGATAAATGTACCTTAACTATCTATAACTCTCAATTCATCATCAAGCATATCAAAGCTACTATAATACCTAGTACTAAGTAATTATTTCCTACTTAATGTGCTTTCATAATTTTTTGAATTTTTTGACTACTTTATAATTTTTAGACTATTTACCTATGTTTACTTTACTGATTTTGGTTAATTTTTTTTATTTTTTGAATTTGTATTTATTGTTTTTACACTCATTTCAAAACCTATTGTTAGGCGACATTTTGCTCTATATACATTTATAATTATTATATAGATTGTTATTTGGGTCTAGTGTTTATGTTTGCCTGGCCTTTGTTAATTATTGTATAATTTCTTCGTTAATGGAGTTATCCAGTATATAAATAAATAAATAAATAAAAATGTGATTTATTCTCATTAGTTCAAAAACTACATGTTCCAGGTGAGATTCTTATTTGAATAGTTCAACAGTATATCCTGTTCACAATCCGATGTCCAAAGGTGCAGGTAAATTTATCACCTTTCCCTATCAAATAGTATTGAAAGGTGATTTTACCTGTACCTACCTGTGGACATCGGATTGTGAACGGATAATATATTGGTGAGTAGATGGCTGCGGAACTCGCTGCGCTCGTCCCGCAGAGGTCCACCCATAAGTTCCGCAATAATCCATTCATTTGTACAGGGTGTTTTTTTATATATTGACACCCCACCTACAGTCTTTACCTTTACAGGTAGAAGCAAAGTGTGAATACAAAAGTTGTACAGTTTTAACTGAATTTTTAGAAACCATGGCCAGAAACAAAATTTGAATGTCAGAAATGTGAAATTTTGCATGCTTCCAGCTTTTTTCAAATGGGATACTATATTTCATTCTATATTCTTGAAGAGCACAATGCGCCGATCTATATTTGATTCAGCAATCTTTCATATATTCGGCTGCAAAAATTGTAAAAATACTATCTTATTGCTGATTTTGTGGACCATTATACCCTCGATTCTACCTGTATAGGTGAAAGCTGTAGGTAAAATTTGTGGTACTTTGTTTCACTGATAGTATTTTTAAAATTTTTTGAATCAAATAGGTATGTTGGAGACGGCTCAACCAAATATAGGCAAACTATATAGGTTTGGAATCGGGAAATTGTGCTCTTCAAGAATATAGATCCAAATATAGCGTATCCCATTTGAAAAAAGCTGAAAGCATGCAATATTTCATATTTCTAACATTCAATTTTTGTTTCTGACCATGGATTCTAAGAATTTAGTCAATACTGTACAACTTTTGTATTTACACCTTTCATCTATCTGTAAAGGTAAAGGCTGTAGGTGGGGTGTCAATATATGTATGACTATTTCACTAGAGTGTTTTATGGCCGTTTCCACCAACTATTTTATGGAAGCCTTAACGATAAGTATTCCCTAAACTGACAGTTTTCTATGGAGAAATGTCAGTTTAGGGAATACTTATCGTTAAGGCTTCCCTAAAATAGTTTGTGGAAACGGCCATTACACTGGCAAAATGTCATAGGAACGGCCGGTTTCCTACTAACAAAACTTCTACCTGTTCTTACCTGGACAAAACTAACATGATGGTTTTTCAGCGACAAAATTTTCTGTGGTTAGAGTAAAAAACTAGTGAGTGTGACAAGTGTCACCTAAAGAAAATAAATTTTCCAAATGAAAATTTGGCTTGTTTTTCTCGTGCCGCCGAATACCACTCGTGGCCGTCAGGCGACTGGTTTTGTCAAAAATGTCACTCGCGAAATTGCCAAGCAACAAACTTTCATACCAGTCGAAAATTTTGCCAACAAATTTTTGTGGTATTACATATGAAAAAACACCCTGTACATACAAGGATTTTTAAAAAAAATTCATAATTCTATTTCTGAGGCTCAGATTGACTTCAGATTTGTTGTGTTTGAAGAAAAGACTTTAGTTATAAATTCCTGAAAGTTTCAAACGAGCACGTAACCTATGTAATAAATAATGCCCAACAATTTTCGCAATTCCTAAATATTCCTCAAAAATGTCCACAATTCTAAATTAATTCACACAATTCCTAACAACCTGTAGAATTTTAAAATTTTCGGGCTTTCTAGAGACTCTTTAGGGTACTTATTCACCTTAGATTATCCATTTATTCCAGTTTTAACCTCAAATTGCAAATGATATTCACTCAATTTATCTCCAACTATTTGTTCCAGGTATACAAAGAACTAGATATAGTATCAGCAAAAGCCACAAAACAAGAACTATCAACAGTTCCCCATCACATGATCAACATCCTAAACCCTCACGAAAAATTCACTGTCCTGGAATACAGAAACCGCGTCTTGCCAGTCATAGACGACATATTTAAGCGCGACAAACTACCTATAATAGTTGGCGGTACCAATTACTACATCGAATCAATATTGTGGAAGATTCTGGTGCAAGAGCCTCACGAAAAACTGGACTTTGAAGTGGGAGTTTTGCCAAACAACGAGCACAAATTGTCTAGCAGGGAGTTGCATGAAAAGTTGACCAAATTGGATCCCGTAAGTGCCAAGCGGTTGCATCCGAATAACAAAAGGAAAATTATGAGGCAAGAATCTTTTATATAAATAGAATTAATTTTTATTTATTTACTAATTTATTTATTAGGTCTTTAGAGGTGCTCTATCAGCAAGGCAAAAAGCACAGCGATATTTTAGAAGAGCAAGGCAATGGTTCTAAATCTGGAGGAGGTTTAAGATATGACAATGTTGTGGTTTTTTGGTTGAGGTGTTGCCAGGTTTGTATTTTAAGGATTTTTATTAATAAATTGTAACATTTTTTAGTTGTAGGAGGTTTTGAACAAGAGACTGGATGACAGGGTGGATAAAATGATCGAGGATGGATTACTGGAGGAGTTGATGAATTTTCATAAATTGTATAATGAGGAGAGATTAAAAGACAACAGGTGAATAATTATTTTTTGTATAACTATCAAACTTATTTTCTAGTATATTTTCAGTTTTGAGTGCAAAATAATGCCCTATGGCCATTTTTGTTCTATTCCAGGATTTAGTTTTCTGTATTTTTTTATTCGTATTCAAGAGTCTGGAAGAAAGATATATTTTTTGTCTTTGATGCTTTACAGCTGCGAAACTATTGAAGCTTGGTTCAAGTGATTAATTAGAAATTTGTACAGGATTTAATTGGCCTTATTTTAAGCCTAATTACGTTGAAATCGGATTGAAATTACCAAAGTTATGAGGCAAAATGTTTGTCAATATCATTTTTGTTTTGAGAAAAACCTTTGAGGGATCGGATTGAAATTTTGCAAATGGATGAAGAAAGGATTGAAATTTAGGAAAAAAATATAAAAATATCGTTCTGTTTGCTCAAATCAAGGGGCAAACCACCTAGGAATTCTTTGCCAAACATGTGGGAAATTTAGAGGAATTGGTGGGTAATGTGAAGGAACCACTGATCTCAAAAATGAATGGATAAACAAAGAACGCTTCTAATGCTGTTAATTTACGAGGTCAAAATCTAAACAAAAACAACTGACTGGGACAGCTGTGAGCGTGCGCAGTAGATACATTTATTGTGTGTGCACAAAATCTGGCCAATGAAAATGTAGGAATTTCAAAATTTAGAACAGTTGTTCGAAAGATAAGACATTGCGCAGGCGTTAGGCTGTTCCGTTGCACAACTGTTCGTAGAATATTGACCCCAAATTTTGCCAATCAAGCCGTATGAATTGTTTATCCATTTATTTTTTAGATCAGTGGAAGGAACTCATTGGAATTTATGAAAATTTGGGGATTTATAGGGAATTTGCAGAAATTTATGGAAGATTTGGAGAAATCTGTGGGAAATTTGAAGGAAATTGTAGGGATATGATGTCACTGAGGTTCACATTTTTATTATAAGAAACACTAATACTACTGAGACTGTATTTTCAATTCGGTTATTGTAGGTTGATTTCCAAGATTCTTTATGTTGTTATTTTCCACTGGAAAAATTTGAAATTTTGGGAAAATGAATCTCTAACCTTCCTCTTCACATGTAAAAAGTTTCAAATTTCTCCCTTCACTGATTTTTCAGGAAAACTTTGAAATGTGTGAGAATGTATTTTCAATTAATTGAGTTATTGAAGGTTGATTTCCAAGATTCTCCATGTTGTTATTTTTCACTGGAAAAATTTGAAATGTGTGAGAATATATTTTCAATTATTTCAGTTATTGGAGGTTGATTTCCAAGATTCCTCATGTTGTTATTTCTCAATGGAAAAATTTGAAATTATGAGAAAATGAGCCTCTAACTTTCTTCTTCACATGCAAAATGTTTCAAATTTTTCCGTTTTCTATTTTTCTAAGAAAACTTTGAAATGTGTGAGACTGTATTTTCAATAAATTCATTTGATTGGTTGATTTCCAAGATTCTTTATGTTGTTATTTTCCACTAGAAAAATTTGAAATTTTGGGAAAATGAGCTTCTAACCTTTCTTTTTCCATGCAAAAAGTTTCAAAATTTTCCCTTAATTAGTTTTCCAGGAAAATTTTGAATTGTGGGAGACTGTATTAATAATTATTTTAGTTTTTGTAAGTTGATTTCCAAGATTTCTAATGTTTTTATTTCCCAATGGAAAAATTTGAAATTATGGAAAAATGAGTCTCTAACTTTCCTCTTCCCATGCAAAAAGTTTCAAATTTTTCTGTTCACTAGTTTTCCAAGAAAACTTTAAAATGTGTGAGACTGTATTTTCAAATAATTCAGTTATTGTAGGTTGTTTTCCAAGATTCTTTATGTTGTTATTTTTTACTGGAAAAATTTGTAAATTTGGGAAAATAAGCTTCTAACCTTCCTCTTTATATGCAAAAAGTTTCAGCTTTTCTCCCAATTAGTTTTCCAGGAAAACTGTGAATTGTGTGAGACTGTATTTTCAATTAATTCAGTTATTGTAGGTTGTTTTCCAAGATTCTTTATGTTGTTATTTTTTACTGGAAAAATTTGAAATTTTGGGAAAATAAGCTTCTAACCTTCCTCTTTATATACAAAAAGTTTCAGCTTTTCTCCCAAATAGTTTTCCAGGAAAACTTTGAATTGTGTGAGACTGTATTTTCAATTAATTCAGTTATTGTAGGTTGTTTTCCAAGATTCTTTATGTTGTTATTTTTTACTGGAAAAATTTGAAATTTTGGGAAAATAAGCTTCTAACCTTCCTCTTTATATGCACAAAGTTTCAGCTTTTCTCCCAATTAGTTTTCCAGGAAAACTTTGAATTGTGTGAGACTGTATTTTCAATTAATTCAGTTATTGTAGGTTGTTTTCCAAAATTCTTTATGTTGTTATTTTTCACTGGAAAAATTTGAAATTTTGGGAAAATAAGCTTCTAACCTTCCTCTTTATATACAAAAAGTTTCAGCTTTTCTCCCAAATAGTTTTCCAGGAAAACTTTGAATTGTGTGAGACTGTATTTTCAATTAATTCAGTTATTGTAGGTTGTTTTCCAAGATTCTTTATGTTGTTATTTTTTACTGGAAAAATTTGAAATTTTGGGAAAATAAGCTTCTAACCTTCCTCTTTATATGCACAAAGTTTCAGCTTTTCTCCCAATTAGTTTTCCAGGAAAACTTTGAATTGTGTGAGACTGTATTTTCAATTAATTCAGTTATTGTAGGTTGTTTTCCAAGATTCTTTATGTTGTTATTTTTTACTGGAAAAATTTGAAATTTTGGGAAAATAAGCTTCTAACCTTCCTCTTTATTTGAAAAAAGTTTCAGCTTTTCTCCCAATTAGTTTTCCAGGAAAACTTTGGAAGTGTGAGACTGTATTTTCCAATAGGCAAACCACCTAGGAACTCTGCCAACAATGTGGGGAATTTTGAGAAATTTATAAGATTGTGTTTGACGTTGGACATTTTTTATTAAAGAAATTCTCCCAAAATTTCATTTCCGGATTTACAGGCCTAAATTTAAAAAAGTATCTTGCACACCTCTTATGAGAGTTTGGGATTCAGTCAATTTTCTTGAAAATTTGATATGATGTTCCTCTCAACATTCTGATTAAAAGTCTTCATAGCTACAACTTGATCATATGACTATGACCTGTGGGGGGGTTTATTTGAAATCCGAATCGACATTCTAAAAAATGAGGCTTCAAACATTTTATGTAAAATCTTCAAATCTTTTAGTCTTGTTAGTCTTAGTGTTGTGTTTCAAAAATCTCAAGTCCCAAGCCCCAAGAAACTCGAAAATTTCCTAAAATGTTTGAAATCTTCTCTTCAACGACTTTTGATTTTGTAAAATCTTTGAAATCTTCACATTTTTCGGCCTCTTTCGTGAAGACTTCATTTGAGAATCTGAGAGTTTCTCCAGAGGAGAATCAGGAAACCTCTTATGAGATTTTGAGATTCGGTCAATTTTCCTGAAAATTTGATATGATGCTCCTCTCAACATTCTGATTAAAACTGTTCATAGCCACAACTTTGATCCTATGACTAAACTGCTGGACACTCAAACTTTCACATATACAGATTTTTAGACCAAATTCAAAATTCCATATTTTCGACACGAATAAAGTTTTTCTAACGCGGTTTGTGGATTTTAATAGCTTGTTTTTTGCGTATAAAGCTTGACGTAAATTTCTCATAGGACCATAGGGTTACGATATACGGGACGATAAAATTCAGTTTTGCTTCAAAATCTGTATGTGTAAGTTCAAGCACAGTTCAAATGTCCAGCAGTTTATTTTTGGAGATACAGGTAGTTTAATGTCCAAGAAATGCACACATTTTATATGCATTTACATCTACCTGTCACCTGACCGTGGGGATACCTGTCAATCCTGGTATATTATTAGGTGACAGGTAGATGTAAATGCATATAAAATGTGTGCATTTCTTGGACATTAAACTATCTGTACCTCGAAAACTAGTCATAGGATCAGCTATGAACACTTACAATCAGAATGTTGAGAGGAGCATCATTACAAATTTTCAGAAAAATTGACCGAATCCCAGAGAGAGAGAAAAGATTGACGTTTAGGGAAAAAAAAATTGAGATTCAATATTGAAACAAATCAAGAGCCTGGAATAAACAAAAAATTATATTATGCTACTATCTATAAAATATTTGAATATTTTATTTAATTTTCAGCCAAGTAGACTACACAAAAGGCATATTCCAAACCATCGGTTTCAAAGAATTTCACGAATACTTGATGCTGAACCAGGAGGAAAAGGACAGTGAGCTGGGAAAGAAAAAATTGGAAGAAGGCCTTGAAAAGCTCAAAATCGGTTCCAAAAGATATTCAAAAAAGCAAACCAAATGGGTGATCAATCGGTTTTTGGCCAGAAAAGACAGACAGGTAAGAAGATTTATAATTTTAATTGGTGACTAGTCAAATTTAGCTAACCTTGACTGGACAATAATGCATTTTAAAACCACCTCATTTAAAAATAGCAATTTTTTTTGTTGTCAAGCGCAGATAAGATTCTAATCATCTACTCATAATGCAATTATTCTAATATTATCGCTTGAAATTATTATTGTCAGGTCCCGCCCATATACAGTTTGGACTCCACTAGTTTACCACTGTGGGAAAAATGCGTCGCCGGACCAAGCGTCCTTATAGTGCAAAGTTACTTATCGAAAACTGCATGCGAAATTCAACCGATTCCTTTGGTGGAAAAAGAGTCTGTGCCTTATACTTCCGAAATGACTTACTCGTGTAAAGTGTGTGATAAAGTGTTAGTGAGTTCGCAACAGTTTGAAATTCACATGAAATCGCGCCGGCATAGAAATATGTTGGAAAGAGTTAGTAAAATTCCAAAATGAGGATTAGCTGATTTAAGTGTGAGTCTTTTTTGTTTTTAAATAAATTGAATGCTTGATGAAATTAGGATTTTTAATTTTTTGCCAATAATTCATCTATTTTCTATAAATGAATCCTTCATGCAACTATTTCCTAGGATATTTAAAACAATCATAATGCATTCTACTCTGTTTTTGATGTGGATGTTTTGACCTAATCTTTTTGATTTATTTTTAGGAAAGATTTCCATATTGAACATAATTTAATGTTTTCTATCATTGATATCACAATCTTGGTTCTTGTTATTTTCAAATTCAAAATATGTTTTTAACAAGTTGCGAAGCATTCAATAACATTAATCTTCTTGACAGTATGGCAAAGCTAGGCGAAATATTTTTTGAGATGGAGAAGTCACAGTACAGGTAATTTTCACTAATATTTCATACTACAACTATGAGATACTTATAGTGGATTGTATTGTGACTGTTCCATGTGGAAAATATTCTGATTGAACATTAAAATCACTTTTTGTAGAACTTCTTTGACATATAGAGCTACAATTTTCTTGAGAGAATCATGACATGAAAATGTGGAAAGTGGTCAGAAATTAGACTTCTATAACTTCTCTAGTTCAATTTCTGCGTTAGGAGACTTGAAAATAGAATTTTCATGCTCTCTATTGTCAAATTTCAGTCCTAGATTTGTACACTGCCTTTAGTTCAAAATTTACTCTTGTATAGTTTTATAATAGAATTTTCATTATTGTTGTTTAATTTCAGATCTAAAATAGTCAAAAATTAGAGTTTTACATTTGTTTGTTTTAAATCTGGATTTACAAGAGCTGGGAATAGAATTTTCATGTCTTCTCAATTAAACTAAGTTAAGCTTTAACTATAGATTTGGTCAGAGCTACAAATTTTAACTCTATGAGTATTACAAATAGGATTTTCACACTTTTCTGGAGGAATTTCAGCTGTACTTCAACTTTTTCGACCGCTCTAGCTCAACTCAACTCAACCAAGAGCCAAGATGTTCATGGTCAGAAGTTGTAATTGTATTTTCATCGAGATTTTCATACTTTTTCAATAGAATTAAGAGTCACTCTAAGTTAACTTTAACTCAAAAATGGTTAGAAATCAGACTTTCATACTTCTCTTAAGTTCAATTTTGGCTTTAGGAGTTCTGAAAATAGAATTTTCATTTGAAAAGTTTAGCTTTAGGAGAGCTAAGATTCTGATTTTCAATCTTTTTTGTTGGGTTTTATCTCTAAATCGGTCAAAGATCAAAAGTTTCATACCTGCATTAGCTTCATACGAGTACCGAGAATAAGATTTTTTACCTCAATAAATCCTGAAAGTTTGAACATTGTACCATGTGTCTTAGAAAAGTTCCAAGATTCTAAATTTGAAAGCCTGAACAATTCGAGATTTTCCAAAATTGTATATAACAATTTTTAACACTTTATAACTTTTTGAAAAATTATCGTAAATTGCTCAAACTCGTAGGGTTTGTAGATGAATTATTTGGATTTCTTCTTAAAAAATTACTCCTTGATATACAAAGTGTTTTTTTGAAATACTTTTATTTTTGCAGGTTCCCTAAAATCATCCTGTAGTTTCTGTTGGCGTTTTTTTTTTCCAAAATTTCCAGTATCCCATCTAATAGTCCTTGAAATTCTCTATAAATCCTGAAAATTTGCATATTATTGTACCATGTGTTCTAGAAAAGTTCCAAGATTCTAAATTTGAAAGGCCTAACAATTCAAGATTTTTCAAAATCGTACATAACAATCTTTAACACTTTAAAAATTTTTGAAAAATTATCGTAAATTGCTCAAACTCTTAGGGTTTATAGAGAATTTCAAAGGCTTTCAGATGAATTATTTGGATTTCTTCTTAAAAAATTACTCCTTGATATACAAAGTTTTTTTTTGAGATACTTTTATTTTTGCAGGTTCCTTAAAATCATCCTGTAGTTTCTGTTGGAGTCTTTTTTTCAATATTTTCAGTATCCCATCTAATATTCCTTGAAATTCTCTATACATCCTGGAAATTTGCATATTGTACCATGTGTCTTAGAAAAGTTCCAAGATTCTAAATTTGAAAGCCTGAACAATTCAAGATTTTCCAAAATTGTACATAACAATCTTTAAAACTTTATAACTTTTTGAAAAATTATCGTAAATTGCTCAAACTCTTAGGGTTTATAGAGAATTTCAAAGGCTTTCAGATGAATTATTTGGATTTCTTCTTAAAAAATTACTCCTTGATATGCAAAGTGTTTTTTGAGATACTTTTATTTTTGCAGGTTCCTTAAAATCATCCTGTAGTTTCTGTTGGCGTCTTTTTTTCAATATTTTCAGTATCCCATCTAATAATCTTTGAAATTCTCTATGAATCTTGAAAATTTGCACATTCTACCATGTGCCTTAGAAAAGTCCCAAGATTCTAAATTTGAAAGCCTGAACAAGTCAAGATTTTCCAAAATTGTACATAACAATCTTTAGCACTTTATAACTTTTTGAAAAATTATTATAAATTGCGCAAACTCTTAGGGTTTGTAGAGAATTTCAAAGGCTTTCAGATGAATTATTTGGATTTCTTTTTAAAAAATTCCTCCTTGATATGCAAAGTGTTTTTTGAGATACTTTTATTTTTGCAGGTTCCTTAAAATCATCCTGTAGTTTCTGTTGGGGTCTTTTTTTCAATATTCTCAGTATCCCATCTAATAGTCCTTGAAATTCTCTATAAGTCCAGAAAATTTGCATATTATTTATTGTACCATGTGTTCTAGAAAAGTTCCAAGATTCTAAATTTGAAAGGCCTAACAAGTCAAGATTTTCCAAAATTGTACATAACAATCTTTAACACTATATAACTTTTTGAAAAATTATTGTAAATTGTTCAAACCTTCAGGGTTTGTTTGTAGAGAATTTCAAAGGCTATCAAGTTTCAGATGAACTATTTGGATTTCCTCTAAAAAAATAACTACTTGATCCTATATTGCTTTGAACTTTTAATATGACAAGCTCCTAATCTTCCTCTTTTTACTTTAAAAGTTTCAAAATTTTCCTCCAGCTGGTTTTTCCAAAAACATAATCAGAAAGTTAAAGAGTGTATTCTCATTATCTGACTTTTTGAAGGTTGATTTTCTAGAGTTTTTCCTGTTGTTTTTTCTCGCTGGATCACTTTGAAATTTAAATAGGACAGGCTCCTAATCTTCCTTTTTTCACTCTAAAAATTTCAAAATTTTCCTCTAACTGGTTTCTTTTAAAAATATATCAAAAGGTTAAAGGGTGCATTCTCATTAACTTTTTAAAAGTTGATTTTCTAGAATTTTTCCTGTTGCTGTTTTTAACTGGATTGCTTTGAAATTTTAATATGATAAGCTTTCAACCTGCCTCTTTTTACTCTAAAAGTTTCAAAATTTGCCTTCAACTGGTTGCTCCAAAAACCTTTCCAAAGGGAAAAGAGTGCATTCTCATGTAAATATTTGATTTTTTGTGAAAGTTGATTTTCTAGAATTTTTCCTGTTGTTGTTTCTCACTGGATCGCTTTGAAATTTCAATATGACGAGTTCCCAAACTTCCTGTTCTTACTCTAAAAGTTTCAAAATTCCTCCCAACTGGTTTCGCCAAAAACATATCAAAAAGTAAAACAGTGCTTTTTCATTATTTGACTCTTTGTAAAAGTTGATTTTCTAGAATTTTTCCTGTGGTTGTTTCTCACTGGATCTCTTTGAAATTTTAATATGACGAGCTCCTAATCTTTATTTTCTACTCTAAAAGTTTCCAAATTTTCTCCCAACTGGTTTCTCCAACAAAATATTAAAAGGATGGAAGAGTGTATTCTCAATAATTGACTTTTCATCTCATATAATTTAATTCAATTTATATAATTAAAATTTTACTATAAGCTGTTACTATTTTTTGTTCTTTCTGTTTTAAGTTTTAGCATTTTTTAGTAACCACCCTTACTTGTGATTACCTTTTGGGTGTTTGTAAGGTGTATCTCAAATAAATAAATAAATAAAAACTATTTAGGTAAATCATTTCATAACTTTTGTGTCCTTATTTGTCCAATTGCTTCGAATTTTTGGTATATCCTGCTCTAATGCCTTATAAAAACAAACGGGAATTACAAAAAAATAGGGGAATTACAGGAATTATTCCAAAAATGCAGGAATTACTCAAAATTATTCAAAATTACAAGAATTGTTTGTAAATTACGGAAATTTTCTCAATGTTACAGAAAATTACGGAATATACGAAAAATGGAAATTATGAAAAATTACGTGAATAACGAAAAATTACGAGAATTATGGATATTACGAAAAACTATGAAAATTACAGAAATTATTGCAAAAATTTTAAAATTTTCAAATGAAAAATCACTCCATAAAAAATTCTGGAAAATTGACTTATTTAAGCAAAATTAAGGAAAATTCACCCTCTTACATTTTAATTTTTTTCTGGAAAACTGGCAGAGGGAAAATTTTCAAGAGGAAAGTGAGGAGCTCATTATAGGAAAATTATGAAATTTTTCAGTGAGAAATCACTCTAGGGAAAATTCTGGAAAATTGACTTTTTCAAGTAAAATTAAGGAAAATTCATCCTCTCACATTTCAATTGTTTTCTGGAAAACTGGCAAAAGAGGAAAAAGAGGAAAGTCAGGAGCTCATTATAAGAAAATTTCAAAATTTTCAAATGGAATATCGCTCCAGGAAAAATTTTGAAAAAATGACTTTTTCAAGTAAAATTAAGGAAAATTCATCCTCTCACATTTTAATTTATTACTGGAAAACTGATAAAGCAAAACTTGTGAAATTTTTTTAGAAGAAAGAAGAAAATAAGGAGTTCATTATAGGAAAATTTCAAAATTTTCTAGTGAAAAATCACTCCAAGGAAAGTCGATAGGAAAGTTCTGGAAATTGACTTTTTTAAGCAAAATTCATCCTTTCACATTTCATTTTTTTTCTGGAAAACTGGCAAAGCAAAAATTGTGGAATTTTTCCAGAAGAAGAAGAAAAAAGTGGGGAACTCAATGTAAGAAAATTTCAAAATTTTCTAGAGATAAATGACTCGAGAAA